AAAACACAGGCCAATGATCTCAACAGACCTGATTATGACACAAAATTAAATAACTCCTCACAGAAGACCGGCGTAAAGTGGAACTATGACAAATACTTTCGCGTTTCGTCTGGTGAGTGAGGTAGCCGGAGCCCAATTTTCAAAAGGTTGTCAACGCATCTGTAACCCTCGGGTGTAGCAGATGTCCATGGCCGGCGGTATTCACTTAACATCAGGTGACCCGTCTGCTCGTTTGGCAACTTTTCGGATTAAAAAAAAAAAAAAAAACGAAAAATACATTAAAAACTACGTGTTATGGGAATTGAATACACAAACCTGGTATGAATTATAAACGATGTCTATAGTAGGTACTATGTTTTAAATTAAAAAAGAGGTTGTTATAAGTGCACGGGCAATGTTGGCTAATGAGCGGCCTGCGCCAGCTGTGGGCCTTTTTAAAAATCTTTCATTATAATGCTCCCTAATGAGAGCTAATCGCGGGGTCGAAAGATTTTCTCCTCTGCGTCTAATCAGTTACTTAATTAGATTGTCGACTGACAAATATTAACTTGTAAGCTCGGTTCAAAATTGAATTGAAACGCCTACAGATCATTAAAAAGTTATATAAACATTTTGCTCATTATGAATTATATTATTCTCAGACCTAAGTCAATTCTCGGGCTTTTAATGAAATATACGAGCAACATCAGTTCAAATCTAAGGTGACCATTGATGTTGTCACGAGTAATTACATTTTGAGTGCTTATTGATTTGCAAAAAGAATCCACCGAGTAAATCTGTGTTCTGCGTTCGTCTCTGGATCACAGAGGTGTCTTTTTACCTCAACAAAAAACGGCTGAAAGAAGACATTAGGTTCATAGGTGCTCATGCAACCCCAACAAACAGTGAGAAAAAATTGAGGGAAGGGCCTGTCAACAAATCAGTGAGAAAAAATTGGGGAAGGTTTATTCTTTTTAAATTGTTTTGCTGGGCCAAATAAGGTTGGTATCGCGTTTGGTCGCGTGTTGTCAACAAATCAGTGAGAAAATTGGGGAAGGTTTATTCTTTTCTGAAGTTTGCATATGTTTTCTAGAGTACAGATTTTGACGCTGGCTCCGCGGCTTTTTTAAGTGCGAAGGTGGTATGCGAGCTGGCGATTCACCTGATGTTAAGTGATAACCGCTGCTCATGGACATTTCTAATACCCGTAGTGTTGCAGCTGCGTTGCCATCTTTTAAAGTGGACCTCGGCTACCTCACTCACCTGACGAAACGCAGACGTATAATAATTCCACCTCACGCCGGTCTTCTGCGAGGTCGTAGTACTTACCCCGACGGACCTGTCCATTTGTGCAGCATAGAAGACTGTTGCGTGGCCCTACCACCATTAACCGCTTTGGCAGCCGATGTCGCACCCCACAATGTCACATAGCCCTCGATACTGCTTTACCTGGTATGGGCACACCTCAAGTGCAGGTTGAGCGTTCTTACCAGTTGAGAACAGTAGTGGTGTTCTGCTGTAGATCGGTACCCCCCACGCGGTAGAGATACCTCTGGAAGAAGTAGTAGTCGAGAGGACCTGCGGCGTGATTAGTCCTTGGATTAATTTGACCGCGTTAAGATTTTACGTTTGGATTTACCAGGGGCAATTTGAAAGTTGACCACTTCTATGGTCTTGACCCCCTACAAATAATAGTGTATAAACATTTATTTGTCCGAAATAAACTGATTTGAAAATATAAGAATCGCACCCAGAGCAATTTAGACGGCAGCGGAAAACCTTAACAATATAAATAACATTGAGTGAAGAAAACTGTGAATAAAACATTGTCGCTCGCAAAAATACCACACAGAGAGGGCAAAATAAGTATCTTGGAGAAGAAATGAAATATTCAGCAACCAGGATGTAACACGAAATGGGAATATGAATAGTATCGAAAATATTCCTAACTGCAGCCAATTTTTACGTTTATCTATACTGTAACAAATTACACATAGATCAAAAAAATAGTAAGCTGAAGCAATCCGTCGGCCATACAGCTCGTAGAACTGATGACCGATGTTGACGAAAGGTTCCCAAGTCTCTTGTAGTGCAGGAAGACCTCAACTATGGATTACCACTAAATGGAGTGACGAATTGTAACGATCCATGAAGTCGATCTATGCAAGTGGTATTTGAGGAAGGCTGGTATTCAACAGTGGACCCTGACTGAAATGCTGATGATGAAACAAATTCACAATTTTGTATATATTTAATCACCGCCGGGACAGAATAATTATTACAGATAATTCAACATCATTAGATCATTGGAACTCTTGTTTATAATGAAATGGAAAGCAAAATTTTCTTATTAAAAGTAAGAATAAATCGACCTGAAAAATATATAGCGTTTACTGTAAGAAAACCATTTTATTCCGTTATTTAGTACGTAAAAAATCTTTAAAGATCCATATTAAATGAAAATGTTTAAGAAATTTCTACGAATACAATTAGAAAAGAGGTCGAGTGGCTTGTTTGCATTTATTTCAACTTTTGATTGCTTTATCTCAGTTTTTTTCTCCACTCTCAGCGAAGTTTCTTCGCATTGTACGGTCGCTAATAGATTCAAAATTTTCCCTATTACATAGCTTCGCGATCTAATATCAAACATAACTGGAAGTTGGTGAACAACAAACTTGTTCTTTTCTGACCGATTCTATTGCTACAGAACCCTTTATGATAGTGTCCATACGACTATTTTAAAACCACACGTCCATTTTTTAAACCACCTTCATATCCAAATACAGTAACAGATCAAAGTGACATATAGCCATGGTCACATTTAAAACACAAAACTACCTTAACTGAAAATGGGTCTGACGTTTTACTGGCAACACAATAACAATAAATACAAAGTAGGGAAACACAATTTACATTTGCAGTCTGATTCAAGTCTTAAGTTTTCAAAGGGACACGGTATAACATTCCTGTTTGGTTTTTTTATGTGAGAAGGGGGCAAGCGAGCAAATTTTCATACCCTTAGGGTTGCAGTTGCGTTGCAAAAATTTAATAAAGTGCGCTCCGGTCACCTTACTCACCAGACGAACAGAAATAACACTTCTACTTTACGCCGGTCTTCTGCGAGGTCGTGGTACTTTTCCGGACGGACCTGCCCATTCGTGCAACAGCGAATACTGTTGCGTGGCCTTACCACCGACCGCGAAAAAAACATTAAATACCTTTATTCAATATACACTTACTTATTGATTGTCAAAAATTGATCTCTTTGAACAAATTTCTTAGTGTTTCTTTGGGGCCTAAGTCATTAACCGCTCGAATAGCTCGCGTGATAAAAAACCAGATAGTTCCGCTTTCCTATCGAACATTCTTAGAAAACCTTTCTAAGAATGTTCGATAGTTCGAAATCGGAAGCCGTCCAATTTGTTTTGGCAGATATTTTTCTATTGCAATTAGTGCAATTGTGTTACCCATTATCGGAAGATGGGAAAAGGTAACACGGTGTGATATTTTTAGCAAGAATATCATAGTGCTTTCAGTAATATCGGATTTTATCGTCAGAACCTGAGCAACGATGCCACGCCGAGCTCGCTAATGGCCCGTAATGACATCTTACTAGATATTGGTTGCGGGTTATTGCATTTCCTGTACTCAATAAAGCAATCAAGCGAAAGCACTACAGGGAAATTCTATTAACTCCAGATAGCGATGCTGCCCTGGTACAAAAGTGTTATCAAAAAGTGTTATCATTCACGATAAAATATTCTAAGAAATGCGGATAAATTTCTTCTTCATTCGAATGTGGTACGTAATATATGTCTACAGAAAAAAAATTATAAATCTTATCTACTAATCTCTACTTAATATTATAATTGTGTTTAATTGTGTTTAATTGTGTTTAATTGTGTTTAATTGTGTTTAATGTAAGTTTGTTTGTTACTTGTTACTTTCAAACCAAAATTACTCAACCGATTATCATGAAACTTTGTATACACATTCTTAGAGATATTAAAAAGGAAATCTTAATATTTTTATTAAAGGAAAATTCAAAAATAGATATTATTTAAGGGCTTCAACGGTGGCGGAGCCGCGGGCGAAAAGCTAGCATAATATATAATAAAGTCCCTTCTCGCCGCCTGTCCCTCTGTACGCTTAGATCTTTTAAACTAAGCAAAAGATTTTAATGGAGTTACCACCAATAAACAAAGCTATTTAAGGGGAAAATTTTTATTATGTTTAATTTTATATATGTGGGTTATTATCTCAGTTTAATATTGTTTTATGTTCATTTCGAATATGACAATAATTCTTCAAGATATCGGTAGAAAGGAAGTCGTAATTTAAGTTCACCAGCCTCGTAACTTGTGCTAGGTGGTATCAATGCACCGTCGACCTGCATAGTGATTGCAGACTCCCCACGCTGCGCAAATATTTTCAAGAGTTAACCAAAAGGTTCAATGAAAGAGCCGAAAGCCATTCCAATACCATGGCCCGACATAAACGCGATCGTTTCAAACGTCCGCGCAACATCCTTATCGATCCGGTCGAGGTATTAGTAGTAGGGGGATATTAGTACGTCGGAAACACCGGGGCTCCCCCAGAGACAACACTATACCCACAGATAGTGCTAACACACATAATCAATTAGTTCGTCCTCTCCTACGAGCATACTAAAGGATGTTATACGATTGCGGAATATATATGGCGACTTACTTACGAACTTAGGTATTAATTATTTATGTAAACTTCAACGTTTCATAAGAACGCGCATGCGTCTATTTGAATAAAGATATTATGAATTTGAACACAGCGAAACCAACCCAACTCGTACACGAGGTACACCCGCATTCCAGGGCGGTTGCCATCACCCCTCGTCATCGTATCCGTATCTTCTTAAGTGGGAAGAATAGTAAAATAAATAGTATCCTTTAAAATACGCTAATAATAAATTTCCCAGAGTGGTATCTCGTAATGTTGCCAGTCGTAGCACGCGTTCTTATACTTTTTGTGGTCGACAGGTAACGATGGAGGGGCGGTATAGGGTGCAACAGAACGACCTTCTGCTCCACGAGGCTGTCATCAAGAACGAGCCGGCAGCAGTGAAGGAAGCGCTGCTTAGGCCTACCGACGTCAATTGCAGGAATAACGTATGATATTAGTTGTATTCCACAAGTAGTCGCTTATTAGTGAGTAGATTATGACATTCGTAATTCTTACATGGATTTCTGTGCATATCGACGTAAGACAATTTCTTGTAATTTCAAATTTTCTTTTAACGCACCAAACGAGATCTTCGAGTAAGACACTAAATTTCTTATAACCGACGAAATAAGATCTTAAGGAGCAATTAACTAAAATAATCTTAACATAAAAATTATAGATCATAGCAACACGAAATTTCTTGCCTTTTTTAACCGACTTCATAAAAGGAGGAGAGGTTCTCAATTCGACTGTATTTTTTTTCTTTATGTTTGTCACTCAGAACTTTCGACGGAGAGAACAGATTTTGATGATTCTATTTTTATTTGAAAGTTGGTGCTTTCCATGTGGTCCCATATCGATAATTTCATTGATATTGGATCTCGGGCTCTGGAGATAGTTTTTTTTTTGTCACTTTTTTTTTTAAAAAACATACCCTCACTTTAGGATAGCATTATCCTGTGTTGTAAGGACGTTTTACATACATAAATTGCACGAGGACAAACACCCAGATGCGAAACACCTATCTGTGGGTCGCGCAAATAAGTGTCCCGTGTGGGAATCGAACCCACAACCCCCGATGCCGAAGCCAAAACCTTGGCAACAGCGCCACGGAGTCATCAATTAGGGAACTCCTAAAAAACAATTATAAAATGAATACAGAGCGAGTATTTGAAGTCGGTTTTGATTTTATTATAAAAACGGACTTATTCTCCTTGACAGCTTAATTGATAATCACTGTACTTTAATGTGAGATACTGATAAAAACGAATGTGCAGACTCGTCTGGGGAAGTCACGCTATCTCACAAAAGACGATCAAGAATCAATACGTTCTCCTTTCTACTCGTGAGTAAGGTAGCCGGGGCTCACTTATTAAAACGCACAGAGACACTGTCTTCTTACTTGCCAGCTCTTCACACAAAAAAGAAGGGATAAGGTGGAGCTAATCTTATTATATTTTGTTTATAGTATGGACGGGCTCCAATCCACTGGGCAGCAAGTAGAGGCAACGTGGAAATAATCAAGTTGCTGATTGAAGCCAAGTGCGACATCGAAGCTGTGGATAAGGTGACAGATTTTCTTTCTCCCTCATTGTCTTTGGGGGAGAGGGGGAGGGTTGTCTAGATTTTAACGACTAACCACCTGCCTGGCGCCAAACCTACTTCGGAACAAACACCTCGATCCGGAAGAGTAATCTATGGGTGACACAAATAGTTGCCATTTGTGGAGATGAAACTAACAATCGTCATCGCCAAATATCCGACATATTAAATATAACAAACTATGAAACAAATGCAGAATTTTCTCCATATATGTTAATATATATAAGTTAATTCTAATGTTAATATGGTTAGAATGTTGAACATTGAATTACCACTAATATAAATAACTTGTACATAGTGATTGTCTTTTGCAAATTTTATATTCTTCATAGAGGTGTCATTTGGTTCTCGAAGAAATAATACGAACGCAATTACAAGGATGAATCTTTGTGTGTATGACTGCTCAATATGTTCAACAGTTCGGTATGCGGCCCTTACTTATGGCAGCATGGCATGGACATCTTGAAGCCGTGAAGATTCTCGTGCAAGCCGGAGCCTGTCTTGCAGCCACTAACAAAGTATGCAACCCTCGTACTTTCCGTTTGTGTGTGTGTGTGTGTTGTTGTGTTTGACCAAATGTGTCTATTTGTTTGTCACGGTAGTTTCTAGAAGTTAATGGCGGCAGGAGTTTGTTTTTAATATTTGAACCAAAATACCGTTGTAATAAAAAACACGTGGAAAAAAGTTATGATTTCTAGAACAAGCAAAAATTATTAAATATATACATTACGTACCTTTAATTCTTATTGGAACTGCATGTAAAAAATTTGCTCTTTTGTCGAATAGATAAGTAGCTTGTCTATATAAATAAAATGATAGAGTTCTACTGTTATACGCACATCACGGCAAAACTACTGGAAAAATTTAAACGAATCATTCTTAGATACTTGGTACACTATATAAAGTTAATTTAAGTTATAAAACTTTTAGAAATAACAATTTTATAAGAACTGCGAGATCAGTGCTGTGTGTATTCTAGCTAGATAAAATACATTCTTAATATAATAAGCAACGTAGATGAGAAGATGAGTGTCGGCTAGTAAAAAATTATGGGTTCACAATAGCATTCGATTTTAAGCTATACATGCGAGATTTAAAATATCTACCTATAAAGAGTTGATGATGACATAAGAGAGGAGTTAAGGCCACAAGGTCATGAATCAAAGCATCTCTTTCAGATCAGCTAAAGTAAACTCATTCCCGAATAAAGCCACAGTTTGTTTTACGACGCCATAAAGCACATAATTCGAAACGCGCCATATTAATAAAACAGCACGTAATTTCGCCAGATATTGGATATTTATGTAGCGCTGTTGAGACCGCGCCGAGTTTATGTGCTACTTTATGGCCCTTCCAACGACATTAGACGGTAAGAAAGGTCTTGGCGAAAGTTCTATGCTTTCGTCACTACCGATAGTACCTACCTTCCGATTTTACTGGGTACTTTAGCTATTTTAATCTAGTAGTATCGCTATATAGTATAAAACAAAATCGTCCCGCTGTCCGTCTGTCCCTATGCATGCTTAGATCTTTAAAACTACGCAACGGATTTTTGATGCGGTTTTTTTTCACTAGATAGAGTGATTCAAGAGGAAGGTTTATATGTATAATACGTTGCATACGTGCGAAGCCGGGGCGGGTCGCTAGTAATATTATAAGTTCGGTTTTAAAAATACATCGTCATAATTTTACGTTATCGTATTTATTTAGCTGTGTTATTAGCGATTATCAGTTCAGTGTTTTCTTTTGATTTTAAAAGTTGTGAAACGAACAGTCGGTTCACCTGATGTTAAATGAATGCCGTCAATGGACATCTACAATATCCGATGGCTTGCTGATGCGTTCTTCTTTTTCTTCTTCTTTTCGAGTCATAGCAGGCGGTTCAGCTGTTGTTAAATGAATGCCGTCAATGTATTATACAACGGCCGATGGCTTGCTGATGCGTTCTTCTTCTTCTTCTCGAGTCAAAATTCCTATTTAGATCTCGTTCGACCAGTATTCGGCCACATCCGGCGCAGCAGAATTGGCTTCAAGCAGGTGCAGGTGCAGGGACACAACGGACAATGAAGATGGGCTATAGTTTGGACCTTGAATGCTGCGTTGACAACCTTTACAAATGCAATACAATTATAAATGAAACTAATTTTACGGATTTATCGCGTTTATTTTTAATTTTAATTCCCGACGTTTCGAACCCTTTACAGTGTTCATGGTCACGGGACAGACAATACAATTGGTAAAAGTCGCTGTAAGTCGTACGCTGGTCTTTTGTGAGGCCGTGGTACTTCCCCGGACGAGCATGCCCATTCTTGCACCAGCAGAAGTTGTTGCGTGACCCTACAACAGCAGATAGTGAATATAAATAATGAAGATATTTTGTTATTAATTTATATTTTAATATAATTTGATGACTCCGTGGCGCAGTTGCCAAGTTATTGGCTTCGGCGTCGGGGGTCGTGGGTTCGATTCCCACACGGGACAACTATTTGTGTGACCCACAGATAGTTGTTTCGCATCTGGGTGTTTGTCCGCGTGAAATTTATGTTTGTAAAACGTCCTTTACAACACAGGATAATATTAGGATAATATAAAGTAAGGGCAGTGTTTTTTTTTTTTTTTTTTAAATAAAAAAATTGTGTGAACTAAAAGTATTTCGCTAAAGAATAAACGGGTAAGAAATAAAGACCTATATTCCTAGCTAGGCTTAAAGTTTAAGTCTCTAACTCAACGAAAAGTTGGTTCTAAATCACCTGCACGTTGAGGTTATAAAACATCTAACGTGATGGTAGTTAGATGGTAGTTAGCCCATAAGATATTGATTAAGCACAAATATCCGCTACGTTACTAACGCTAGACCGTTCGCATTTAAATAAATAACACGAAATTTTATAGAAACACTCCCGAATAGCTGTGTTACTAGAAATGTGTTTGCAGAAGCAGAATGACCTCCTGCAATGCGCCTGCGCCAAAGGTTCAGTGGACGTCGCCGCGTATGCGATATCCCTCGGCGCTAAGGTGCAGGGTTGTGACGCGGCAGGCGACGCACCCCTAGCCCTGGCGGCGAGATCAGGGCACACGTCGGTTGTGGAACTACTGCTCGAGAACGGGGCAGAAATCGACGCTATTAATAAGGTAAGAAAGAATGCGCATTGTGCATTTTGCTACCAAACATATTAAGCTAAAGAACAGTGTTGAAATGTTACGCGCACATATTTTATTGAATAATTCTCTCGTTTTAGAACAGTTAAAATCTGTGTACGTAATACGGGCACTTCATTGAATTAGAATTGTTTAAGTGTATATTCATCATTATGTTATTGAACGAAATGCGTTACGACTACTAAACGTGCAAATACGACATTCTGAATGAAAAATCTAACAATACATCACGCTCGCGATTATATACTCAAAAATATTGACTTTTAGACATCAAAAGTAAAGTAAATTAACAGTTTATACAAGTCCTACTGCTGGGCAAAGGCCTTCTCTGCAGAAGATATAAGGGGTTCACCACGTGACGCAATTTTGGATTGGCAGACGACACATCTTTGAAGTACTTTTTTTATTATCTAGAAATTTTGCAGATTTCCAAATTTTGTTGTTTTCCTTCATCGCTGAGCGCGAGTGCACCGGGGTTGGACTCGGTTTGCTCGATTATATTGAATTAAAAGCGAGCACCCGGAAAGTGGGGTCGCCTTGTGGACTATGTCCCAATACCGTCTGTGCAGAGCAAGCCTTTGCCTTTCAAGTGGGACTTGTATGGCCTGTTACTTTACTTATGTAGCCTTCACATCAACTGAATCAGCTCCTACCACGAGGTGGAATTGTAGTTAAAGACTATAAAATCAATGATGAAAAGAACTTCGCATTGTTACGATGGTAAATTAAAATAATAATAATAAATAAATGTTAATAATAATATATTAATAAATGGCTTCATAACAAATTCAGGTTGAGGAAATGAACACGATAATGACGACATCTATCTACGTTTATTACACTCCAGCAGTTTGATTACAGAGGTATCTTAGCAACAGAGAACTGACGAATTTCGCGCTCCGTCAATTGTGTTTCCAGACGAGCGCTTTCCCAGAATCGACAACACCCGCCAATAAGACTAACTAAATAGTTGCCAAGCCCTCAATCTGTTTTTTGTAGAGAAAAAATTGGATTGGGTTTATGTAGGAGTGAGGAGCATTTCTTCGATTGTTGGATTATTCTTATTGTTATCATAGAGCTACCTGGTAAAAAAACTGTACGTAGTTTTTAATAATTTTCAACAAAAAAAAAACTTCTTCAAACAGGAAAATAATAAAACATTGTCAACGCCTATAACATTTGAGGATTGCCCTCGATTTCTCTGAGATGCCGTTATCAGATCTGGGATTCCTTATCATGGTACCACCCTTGGGATATCTCCTTTCCAACAAAAAAAGAATCATCAAAATCGGTTCATAAATGACGAAGTTTTCCCCGAACACACATTAAAAAAATATATATATACGGTTGAATTGAGAAACCTCCTCCTTTTTTGAAGTCGGTTAAAAATAGGTGTGTAACGAAAAAAAAATATGGAAAAACAATAGCAAATAAATCTTCGGATGACTATTATTAATTAAACTCACAACAGAAACATATCCTAGTTAAGGATTCCCGCCATTCTCAGCTACTGATATGTAAATAAAATAAAAAAATACTGATTAGACGGCACTAGTTCAAGATCGAATCGGGATGTAACTTACATTTCTCGATTTTAGTAGGTAACAAAACTTTCCATGTATGTTTAGCCAAACTCGTCAAATATACAATTCCTAAGATGAAGTCCCTTATAAGCGTGTCGAGATAATTTAAAAAAAAACTGTTAAATGTCTCTTAATATGCAACTTATATGTTAAAGAGCCGCCTTGCATATAACTTAAAAGTTATTTTAAAATGTATGCTTAACTTTCGCTTTAAAAAATAACACAAATTCTTAATATTCATATCGTTTACGTATTACATGATATTTATTCCCTATTGTCTTCGTAAAACACGTGGACAATAGGATCGTGATGTATAATACATTTTCTTCCTCCACACAGAATCGCCCGGGACAACGGTCACGGGTAACAAAGGCCCACCCGAATAGATATACCTCGTTCGGCGGAGAGCAATACAGAACTTTCCAGATGACTTGTTGGTTGTGATATGAAATGATTTATTATGTACAAAATGTACTCTTATAAAATGTGGTTCATTCTCGTATAGTGGTAATAGGTGCACACATAAAGTAATCTATTAACTCTTGAAAGAGTTTTGTTAAATAAGGTCCAAATGATTTTAATATAAGAAGATTACTAGCTGACTCTTGCGTTATCGTATATTTTCGCACACTACCGTGATAAGTCACCGGATGCTAATACAATATGGTAGCAATAAGGTAGGGTAAGTGTTGCATGAATGGGCAGTCCGTCCGGGGACTTACCACTACCTCACGGAAGACTGGCGTGAAGTCGAATTGCCATACTTCTTTCGTCTGGTATGTGAGGTAGCCCGGGCCCACCTTATTGAACGGTGGCAACAAATCTGGCGGCGGTTATCGCTTAACATCAGGTGAACCACCAGCTCGCGTGCCACCTCCTGACAAAAGAAAAGGATTTATCGATCAGAGGCATCGTAATCCTTCCGACAAAAACACCTTTCCGACAAAAACACCAACAACCAAATTATAAACAAGGATTTTATATTTTTAATTTAAATTTTTAACGTAGGAGGCGTAACGTATAAGGATTTTATATTATTAATTTAAATTTATATTTTTAACGGAGCAGGCATCATAATGTTTATTAATAGTGGCGTGTAAGTTTCTGTTATTTTAATTAACATCAACTTCGTTAAGACTTAAAGCCGTCTGTTAGTCTGTGAAACCAAAACAAAACTTCATTACCCATGCATAGATCCACAATGAAGAACTACAAATGAATTAGAATGTAAATGTGCGTACCCTAACAAATGCAATATTAGGTCCTTAAACTGTAACATTTCAATGGACTAAATTGGATGGGAAGTATTTTTATATTATTCTAAAATGGCGTCGTCATCCGTCGATTTGGCTTCAGCGAAATTGGATCACTGCTGTTATAACTGCATAATGGTGCTGCTATAAATGTTACAGAGTTTTCAATATACTTTTTTGACAGAATACATTTGAATAGCAAAAACTATCTGTAAGCAATCGAGTTTCTCCTTATAAACTTAATCTGTCTCAGAGTGCCTATGTTAGGAACATGATAAAGAATTTACATGCAAAAAATACAGTTCCACAAAAAAATATTCAGCTATCTCACACAAGTAGAGAGTAATGACAATCAAAAACTTTCAAGCCTTTATGTATGTTATATTACTATAACTTACATAAAATTATTAAATAAACATACTGAAAAATTCATTCACAGGCATTATTACTTATTCGCCATACATTAATACGTAAGTCTTTTAAATATTTCCCACGAGGGTATGTTTCTACGTAATCTACCTACTCGTACCACATGATGACACGTTCGCAAAGATGTTCCGTCGAACAACATATTTTATTACATTGTAGTCTTTCCTACGTTGTTTATGAATAAGAAAAAAAGATGTCGAGGTAATAAGGCAGACCGAAATTCTGAAGCAGCTGTAGGTTATGACTGTAATCAAAATGAATAAGCCTCCATGGGTCCGTGTTCTACAAGAGATAGTTTGGATACCTTACCAGGATTTTCCCTAAGTTATTCCACCTTTATTCTCATATGTTGTAGTTGTATTTAGGTTTACCAGCTAAATACGTATGTATTTAATGAAAATGTACATACAAACAGGTTTAACTTAATCATAAAGTTATGTCAATACATACGTACATATTTAAATTACAGGTAAACACAACACTATTAATGAGACTTAAATTCTTGAGAACAGAAACTTATTTAACTAAAAAATCTTTGAGGGAAAAAAACGAAAAATTATTGATAATTGAGCCGTGATGGCTTAGTGCAGGCGCGTTCGTTTTTTTTTAATTGAATATACTCGTGCAACCTGAATTAAATTCCCAGTGCCAGCTCCACTGAAATTTTGAATTTTAAGTGCTGACTTATCACGTGCTCAGCGGTAAAGGAAAACATCGTGAGGAAACCTGCATATTTTCGAAATGATAACAAAGATAAACGGTGGACAATGCCCTGGTACCCTATGTACAGAGGAGGCCTATGCCTAGCAGTAGGACATATATATGTTGTAATTTTTCTTTAATACTTACTTATTGATGGTTTAGGTACGTCCATTTCTTTTATTCTTTCTCTCTACTCAATATCAAGTAAATAAAAGATAAACTTAATAAAGCAAGTGCTGCACTCAAACATAGACGAATATTCGGAAACAAAACTGTATGTAATGTCAACGCATCTATAACCCTCCAGGTGTCGCAAATGTCCATGGCGGCGGTTATCACTTAACATCAACGCCAGCTCGGTTGCCACCTTCTAACATTAAAAGAATGTGGTATTTTTGATGTATGCTCGTTACCGATATGATTGTTATGTTGTGGCAGTCTGTGGGAGTCCGTCATCAGACTCAAGTTGGAAATAATGATGATTGTCACTCTGAACTACGTCATTTATGATGCGATTTCAAAAATTCTATTTACATTGAGTTCGGTTTGTGTCCCATCATTGGTCTGCACCTCAGACACCAGAGATGTATATATTTGAAATCGTTTTCTTTTTTGTTCATAAAAATGTTTTACTTGTTATAACTGAATGTATCATATAAAGAACATTACTAAATTCGTTTATGTTGGAAATGTGGATGTTACGTTTGGAATCTTATCAAAACAAGCTCTTTACGACCTTTGTAAAGGTTTTTACCTTGTTATTTTTCAACTCTACATCGCCTCCGGTTTAATCGGTTATTTTTTTTACCTGGCACTCTCTTTTAAAATGAACATGATGGTATTTTCCTTTGATTACACTCCCCAATTTTGTATGTAATATGATATATTTAATTACATCATTAATCTTTTATTCAAAACGTTTTCTACTTTTAACGTATACGATTTTATCACATCTATTAAAATCAATTTAAATTTAAATATACGATGTTCCAAAAATCCAAAGCAA